TATTATTTTTCTTTATTTATATATTTTTTGTTTTCTTGTAATTTTTGTCTTTATTTTGCATTTTTATGTATTTCTATAATTTCTTTATTTATTAATGTAATTTAGGTATGCATCTCATTTAATGAATTAAAATATAAAACATTAATGGATTGGGTGTGTTGGGTTAGGTCTAGGTGGGTTTAGGTTAAATCCAACCCATTTACTTTTATCTAAATAGGCCATTAACAGGTTGGCAAGTTAAAATGGGTTGGGTTGAAGCTCCACACAAACCCACCCAATTGACACCCCTAGGTAAAAAAAAAGTAAAAACTAATATAAAATTAATTGAAATTCTATTTATCTCTCAATCAAACAAGTCATTTTGTGGTATCATAAATTAATAATAAAAATAAAAATTTAAAACATAAAATATAAAGTTTGTAGAAAATTTAAACATGTCTTTAATATTACATATTGATTATATTAGATAACAATATGTTAAAAAATGAGAATTATTGTTGACTTAGTCAAATAGGTCAACAATTCAATGAATATGGTCATTTGGTTGCTGACCAAGTTAATAATTTTTTTGCAACAAAGTGGTTTAAGTTGAAGCATCAGAAATTTGTCCAAGTGATAGCTCAACGAATCTAATTGTTCTATTCAATCGCAAGTTGAAAACATTGATATAACATACAAGTAAAAAGATTTGAAGTCAAGTCTCTAAGTTGATGAAAGACAATAAATCCACCAGCATATATTTTGATAAAAGTACTAAAATTTTTATTATTATTATTATGAGGCAATTTCATAGTCCCGTTAGACACTAAGGGTCCATTTGGTTTTCAGGAGCAGGGGTCTGGAATCGGAATCAGAATGGGCTATTCCGATTCCAACTGTTTGGTTTGGCAGAATCAAAACTCCATTCCCATTCCCATTCCTGCTAGAATGGCATTCCCCCATTTGAGGGAATGGACATTCCTTGCCCCTCCCTGGGAATAAAATCCTATTCATGTTGATTTTAATTCTCATTCCCATTCCTGTCTAAACCAAACAAATTATGGGGATGGACCATTCTGATTCCGATTCTGGAGAATTTCGATTCCAATTCCAACTACAAACCAAACGGACCCTAAAACAAGAAATGGGGGACAAGAGGCCTAGGCATATAAGGTCAAGTAACAACAAGCCATACTTAGCAACTCGATGGGCTGCTATATTGGTATACCATGGTACATAAGATCAATGTTTTAAAAAACGACCCAGAATCGGAACCAATCTAGCCATCGGTTTTTGGGTCGACAGTTTGACCATCCGATTTGAATAAACAACCTGTTTTGACAAAAAAATTAAAAACAATAATTAAAATAAAAAAATGGCCAAAAACCATTGAGCGGGTTGAATGGGTTGATGGTTCGACCGCCTGGGCCAATGGGCCATTGACCAATTCAACAATTTTTGGATAGTAATTGGGTTTGGGGTAAAATGAAACCAATTGCTTGGACGGTTCCTAAGCCGAACGGTCTGACCATTCGGGTCAACAACTGTTTGAAAACATTGCATAAGATAGTACTTTGTGGGGAAGTCCCTCTAGAAGAGCTTTGCATTCGATCAAGATTGGATGAATCCTAGGGGTGCATCTTGGAATGGCCTAGCCCAAGCCCGAACTGGTCCAACCCGAAATTTTACACAAGTTGGGCTTGGATTTTCAGTCCTTGGGCCCAAGAAGTCAAGATTTTTATTTTTCAAGCTGGACCCAAGCCTATCCCTTAGGTAGCCCAAACCTAGCCTAAGCCCAGCACAACTGTACATATTTATACATACATATGTGTATATGCATAAATTTTGCACACATATTTACACCCACACCTACACGCACACACACACACACATATACATATTTGTATACATACATATTTTGCATACATATTTACATATATATATATATATATATATACATATTTGCATAAATACATTTATATGTATAATTTTAGAGTGGATTCATCGACCAACTAGAGCCCAACTCAGGCCCAAGCCCAACCCAAATGCATCAAATTATAGTGCAGGTTGGGCTCGGTTTGGGAAAATAGGGCTAGACCTCGAGCTTGGTCTAGGCTCCAACCTTAGCCAAATTTTAGGACCAGGCCCGGGTTGACCATAAACCCAGCCCAACCAGCCCAACTTCCACCCCTAATGAATCTGCAACAAAGGAGAGCCTAATTTCTCCAAAAGAGTTTGAATGAAAAATTGGACATCCCCTTTAGAAGTAACCTGAGAAATCTGCAACTCCAAGACAAAACAACGAGCTTCCAATAATGCCAAACTTCCGATCTCCATTGATCTCTTTGGAGGAAAGGCTGCATCTTGAGCATAGACAAAAGCACCAACTATGTCTTCCAATCACCACACCCATAGCTTAAGCATAGAGGAGAAGTTGCCCCATCAAATTATTATGATCATTTAGGTGGTGTTTGGAACCAATGTCGTTTCTTAAGATTTTTTTTTTTTTTAGAAAACAATGACACATTAGTATGTCATTTTCTTAGAAAATGTTTTTCCTTTTTTTCTATTTATACCTTTGTTGTTACTACCACGTAGGCATTTTTCAATTACATGTCAGCATACTATTGTTAGTAGTAGCAAAAAAAAAGAGCACACACCAAAAAGGGCATTTTCGCATACCACATCTTTTCATGGTCTGAATTTTTTTTTGAAAAAAAAAACACATAACCAAACATCAAGCGTTGTTTGAAAAACGGATTTCAAAGGTGGTGCTAATGTGACCGTTTTTTGAAGAAATAACATCAGTTCCAAACACTTACTTAAAATTGAAACATGCAACCCACATGGATATTTACTAGTTAAAAATGGAAAAAATACTTGTTTCAATCAAGTTTTTAGAACCAAACCGGTGATCAAACCGGTCAGGGCACCGTTTTTTCGGTTTGGCGGTTCAACCGTCTGGGTTGAACGGTTCGACCCGTGATGTCATAAATAAATAAAAACAAAAAATACATATATATAATAGCAATACCATAGAAATTTAAATAAAATACATAGCAAAATACAGGAAAAAGAACAATACATGAAAAAAATAAAAATATCTAAATATAAAAATAATAAAATACAAAAAATACAAAAAAAAATCCAAAAAATCCAGAAAATTTTCCAAAAGATATAGAAAATTTTCCAAAAATATAGAAAAATTTCCAAAAAATTCCAACTATAGTACTTAGACCCTTTAGCCTACCTGAAGCATCCATGCCAAAAGATATGTAGTCTAATAACCAAAAATCTAACGCCCTAACGCAAGGTAGCTTGGATCCATCTTGCCTTGGGGTAGTCTAATAATTTGTAGTTGTGTACATATCTGTATTTCCAAAAGATCTATAGTTATGTACATTCTTCAATAAAGGGGTAGTCTAATAAATATTAGTAATATACTTATAGCTGCAACCAAACACCACAACCTACATATATATGAAGGTCTTTAAGGACTGACTAATGAAACATCCCAGTCAAAATAACTCACTTGTGTAATGGAAATTGGAAAGAAATAGCAATGTCCTTTTGACAAGTGGAAATGAAGTAGATTAATAAAGCATGTGTGAAAAATTGGTTTAGCACCTTTAATAAGCAAGATCTTTTCAAATCAAGAATCATGTAATTATAGTCATAGTTTCTTTTTCATCATATATCAAACTACAGTCATAATCACCCATATGTTTGATGTAATGCAACATTTTCAATAAACAAGAATTTAAGGTCCTAATAAATTACCTTCAACTAACCAATTGAAAATAGTAAATTTCCTTTAATCATAATGAAATCAAAATGATGAATACAAATGAAAATGGATTCATAGCATAAACAGTTGGCTGTAATGGATTCATAGTAAATTTCCTTTACATGATTGAGCTACTTAAAAAATAATATCTATTCAAAAAACTAGGGTGAAAGCATTGAATACTTGTGAGAAACAAGGAACTCTTGGCTATAATAGCCCTGTTAACAAGCTTAACAACTAGAACTAGAGAAAGAAAATTTACATCATAAGGATGAGTAAAAGATGGAATCCTTGATCATGACTCTAGAATACAAAAATGGATTTTACCTATCTCCCATGGTCACCTTTAGCCCTTGTTCGCTTCAAAATGTTTGTCACATTTTGCCTTTGTTCTTTGCTTGCTTCTTCTCTGTGCATTAGAATCACATATAATTGTCAAGAACTCATTCAATAGATTTTGTATGTTCAAGAAGAGGGTTGAATAACCACCTTGTCTCCTTTTTGCTTCAGATTTTGCAAAGAATTCCATCCATTCATCCGTCATTACAAACATAGGTTCTTCCTCTTCTTCTTCTTCTTCTTCTTCTTCTTCTTCTTCTTCTTCTTCTTCTTCTATTTTTTCCATCAAGTCCTCTTCCCTCTACTTATTAGAAAATACCCATTATAACAACTCAATGCACCTTACCATTAATTAGATAAATAAAATTTTTAATTAACAGAAAACGTTATAACTTATAATTGAGAAACAAAATCATTCCTTGAGAAATACCCATTATAATAGCTCAATGCACCTTACTATTAGCTATTTCAGGCTTTCAACTTCTACTTTCATTGAGTTTCTAACAAGCCCTTTTAACTTGTATTCCAAATATACAAAGAAAAATGTAAGAAAAACTTTTACAGGCCATAAGCAATGCAAACTATAAAAGGAGTACTTTCTTTCACCTTATGGAAAGGGACCCCTTTAGATGATCAAGTCTTTCAGAGTTTCCTCTAGACTTCCTATTTAAAAACACTAAGAAGACAAGAAAAGAAATTTTGCAAAAGATTCTATACATATTGTTATAGCATCGTGCATTCTTAATTCATCAAACATAATACTTAGATACTCAAAAACCAAGTTCACCAAGTATTAAACACAAATCAAAACTTCAAGTTCAACATAGAGTTTGGTTCACTAATCTAATCATCCAAATTCTCCAGATATGTTGGCCCCACTTCTCAATGGTACCAACTACCAACCAAAGCCAGGTGGTATTTCACCATCATCTTCATCTTTGGGATGTTGTGTTTCATCTACATCTCCAACTTGGGTATTGGTTGCATTTTCCTCCATGATTCCCCATTGCTCAATGAAAAATTCATCATCTAAAGAACGAAAATAGAAAATTAGAACTCAAAAAATAGCTAAAATAATCAAGTATGGAAATGTCATTTGAGATAATATCAATGATAGTTACCATCAATCCTATCTCTTTTTCTTGATGGTGATTCCATTATTGGAAATGTTGTCTCATCAGCTTTAAACATATCATCATTATCATTACCATCAAGTAATGGAGGATCCTTATCATCGTGCACTATCGAATCTTCCACAACATCAACATGTTCATGCCCAATTGGGTCGAGACTTTCAGTTTTTCTCCTACAAATCAATAAATGATACATTAGATGTAATGCAAGCATTAAAAAAAAGAAATCATGAAACATAAAAGTTAAAACGCTTACCCATCCATCACATGCAGGTTGCAATGAACATATACTAGGTCATTGAGCCTCTGGTGCTCTAACCTATTCCTTCTCTTCGTGTGTATACGTTCAAAAACACTCCACTTGCGTTTACATCCAGATGAGCTACATGTCTAGCTAAGGATCCGTACAACAATCCTTTTCAAATTTGGAGTGTCACAACCAAATCTCGACCACCATTCACCTATATACAATGAAATAGAGTTAATTTAATTTATAAAATAAAATTGAAAATTGAAATAATAAACATGTTATAAGAAAAAATATTTATTACCCAGAGATGTTGACTTAAATGTCTTCACTAAGAAAAGTCTTCCAAAATTACCACGACAATTTTCAAAAAGATTAAGCTCTTTGTTCAGCTTTATCTTTACATCATCTGATTTGATTACAAGCTTTTCAATGACATAAAAAACTGTAGACATAACGATCAAGGATTCAACTTTTGATTTTGGATCATATTGGAAGTTCGGGTTAAAATAATACCCTACAAGATGAAGCCTCTTACCCATTTTGTCTATTCCATCTTCTATCAATAATGTCCATGATTGGGCCATATTCAGCTTTCTTATAATTAAAAAACTTTTTATGTGATTCTTTTGCCTTCAACATTGCATGATACATATACCCCATTGCAGGCCTAAACTCAGAATCTGCAAGTCTCAATGCACTAACAAGAGGTGATGTGAAACCCATAATCATTTTTTATTGTGCCCAAAATTCAGAATCCAAAACTATTTGTATTACTTCCTTCCCCTTTGCATCTTTTGCATACCTAGAATCAATAAAACTCCAATCTGTCACCAAATTTTGCAAATCATGCATGTGCTTCAAAATGCTATCTAATGCAATGAAATTAGTTGCAAAACGAGTGGCTCCAGGACGTACTATCTCAGTCCAACCAGGTCTCTTCCTTAGCATTGAGAGTACAAAAATATGATTGTAGATAAATTTGGTAATTCTAGATGCACGTTGAACCACATTTGCAACATAATCCATTTCCCCAATTTCCTTTAACATCAAGTTTAGACAATGTGTTGCACAAGGTGACCAATATATCCATGGAAATTCTGCTTCCAACAATCTTCCTGCAGCTACATAATTTGTAGCATTGTTAGTGACCACCTGAACAACATTTTCTGCTTTTACCCAATTAATAACTTCCTTAAACAAAAGAAATAAATTCTCTTCACTCTTGACTGTTTTAGAAGCATCTGCAGACTTCACAAATGCAGTTCCTGTAGGACAATACACTAAAAAATTAATCAATGTTTGGCTACGTGTATCTGTCCAACTATTAGCAATTATAGTGCAACCATATGTAGCCCAATCCTTACAAAGTTTATCAACTGACATTTGCACCTCTTGAACTAAATCCTTCAACAAATTGGTCCTACAATTATAATATGAAGGAGCTTTGTACCATGGACCAATAGTAGCAAGGGCATCCAGCATAGGCTGAAAATATCTTGAAGCAAAGCATTCAAGGGAATACAAGCATCACACAACCACTTCATAACAGCATGGTCCACATGATTAATTGCTCCCTTAGATGCCAATACACTCTTAATTCCAGGTTGTGCACCTGGAATGGTCCATGGAGCAAAATGGCTAGTTATTAGCCCTGAAGATGCTTTCCCCTTTCCTGATGATG